TGTCGAAATCTACGCGTCGCATCCGGCGTGGTGCGTTGCCAAGGCATTCGCGGCCAGCTCCAGCCGCTGCGTCCATTGCGACAGCCACTGAGCGCCTCCTCGCCGCCGCCGCCCGGATTGGGTGAGTAAAAGTTCCCCGGTGGCTGCGCGGTCCAGAAACGTTGCTCAGCGCCAGGACCAACTCCTGCTCCTGCTGCTACGGCTGCTGCTGCGGCGGCTGCGCTGGCCTCATCCCAGGGATAGGAGTTTGTCAGTTGCCGATGGGCGTGGCACTGCTCACAGCAACGACAATTGAGCATGCGCCCCGGTGCACTTAGACTATGGGGCGGAGGCGGTGCCTGTGTGGCATACAACGAACGACAGCGCAGCTCCAGCTGCTCCCAGTACATCTTCTTGCGCTCATGGCTGAGCAGCTGATAGACCAGCATGCAGCTGAACACGGCAATCAGGACTCCAGCCACAGAGAGTCCAAAAATGGCGCGCAGACACGAGTAGAGCGAGCCATGGACGACTCCACAGTCGGAGAGCGAATCAAAGACCAGACGCACACCTTCTGAAAGAGATTGGGCTGGAGTTAGTGGACTGCCAAATGGAGTATATATCATTCTTACCTTTATCCACACGATCCACTTGGGACTCAATCAGATCCGAATAGCAGGTGCAGGTGCGCGTCTTCTGAGCGTATTCGCATTCACGCAACGCCTGCAGTCGGCTCATGTGGAGCACCGTCGTAGTGACGGTGACCAGGGCGCAGGTCAAAGCCGAGACTAAACCACAAGCACCTGATAGCTTGATCTAGTAGAGTGAAAAAGTGGATATTGAAGATAGGATTAAGATTGAGCAAGCGTCTATTTACCAAATAGCTATAACGATTCCGACGACGCGCCAGACTCATGATGCAAACACCCGTCAGAATGAGCTGTAAAGTAAATATATATGCGTATAGATATCTGGATGGATCAATCAGCTTCGACTTACCAGTGTGGCGGGCACAAAAGTGGGCACAGTTTCAAAGTTGCCCACGGTTATGGTATACGAATGCAGCAAGAAGTAGACGCCCAGGAAGAGAACGCCCAGGAGGCAGCTGAAGCCACCGCAGATGAGGCACCATACCACATACTTCTTAATGCCAGCACCAGGACGATGAGCTGCGTAGAGAAAGAGAAAGAGAAAGAGAGAGGAAGAGTGAGAAAGGGTTTCAGATATATAAACACATTAGAAATTATTGTAGTAATCCTCTAACCCATTGAGCCACGATGATGATGAGCTTCAGCTGCGGTTGGTGGCGCTGGCACCCAGGTGCACGGCGTGGGCATGCTATACTGCACGAACTGCATCACCGGATAGCCATGCATGTTGGCTAGCTAGTCGATTACACCCGTCTCTTGCAGCTGTTCAATCGAAACTTTCTTAAAACTCTTTCACTTTTAGCATCTCGCAATTGCCTAAACGTTTATTTTGTTTTGCATTCTGTATATATATACTATATACACCGTTTTATTTGTATACATAGATGAATATTTTTTTTTCTTCACTTCTCGAAAAAATATCTACACACAAGTCCGTTTCAGATGCCTCAACTGGGCAGCTGCGCGAACTTTGACTGCTAGGAGATGGCGAATGGGAGACGCGGAAGCTGCGCCCATAGACGGAGCGTGCGTTGCAGTTGCGAAACGATGTCAACTACAATTCCAATTCCGATTCCGTACTGACATTCACACAGTTACCAAGCCAAACAACCAACCAACCCCGCTGCAATCACGGATGTCTCCCAAGGGAACTCCGAAGAGAATGAGAGAGAGTGAGAGATAGAGAGAGATTGCGCAGGCGTCGAACTAGTAGATGAGGAAACTTTACCCGAGCGGATGCTGTTTTTTTATACGGCTACGATGATAGACGTAGAGACAGTTCTAGTAAATGGTAAACTATAAAAATTCTTGTGTGAATGGTTGCCCATAAAATACCCTATAATCAGCTAAAAGATAGGAGATGAGCTAGAATTTCGCCATGGATAACTATTTACGGAAAGGATTTGAAACTACGAATATTCGTATGTGAATACATTACTCAAAGCTTTACTGTAAACATGAATGAGTAGAATGAGTAGGCCTACCATAACCTACAGAGTAGCGAATAAAGAAGTAATACATATGACTGATAGATACCCTATACCATATAAGACTCAGTTCTTCTTCTTCGCACATTTCCATGCATTACTCACCAATGGAACCGTTGGCATTACTCCTTGGCCTGGGCGGTGGGCGTGGCGGCAGTGGCGGACGATGATCATCCAAGCCCTGAGATTTGGCACGTCCACCAGCAGAGGAAGCTGCCGCAGCTGCACCCGCTTCGAGCTCCGTGTCATGGTAGATGTCATTGCAGCTATCCGTCTTGACTGGCAACTGATCCGCTATGTTGTTCGCATTTCGTGGCTTCTTCTTCTTGATCATGGTGCTGTTATTGTCCGATTCACTGACCGTAATCTCATCGGCGCCGAGCATCGCATCTGCGAGGAGGCTACGTTTGTGCTGCTGCTGCGAGATGGAGACGGAGATGCTGTTGGCACCACAGCTGCACTCGAGATCACATTCGCAGCGCGGAGAGCTGAGAGTCGAGCTATCAAAGGGCAAATTGTGATTTTCCTCGTTGGGCAGGGCTTGGTAGGAGTGATTGAGCAGAGATTGCGCCGACTGAGCCTTCACTCCCACCTGCTGGACAGGTGTCGATGTGGCTGTCGACGTTGAGGTCTGCTGATGGACGAGCACCGCGACAGCCATGGAAGCATTTTGATGCTGTGGCTGCTGCTGATGCGGCGGCTGTTGCTGAATTGCTGTGGCTCTTCCACAGGAACAGGGGCACTGACATTGCTGCTGCGGCTGTTGCTGCTGTTGTTGCAGATATTGAGCCGGATATTGTATATAATGATAATGATGAGGCGCTGCAGCCTGGACGAGACTCGACTGTGAGGCAACACGTTGCAGGGAAGCCGAGATCGAAGCTGTGCTTGCGTCCGCAGCAATATCCATGACTGAATAACTGGGCAACTGGCTAAACTAAACCGGTTTGACCCTTTATAGCTGCAAACGCTTAATAAATGCCTTCCACTCTCAGAAAGAAACAAACACAGGTATCAGGTATGTCCGTCCATGATGACTGTGGGAAGGAACTTTTGCGATTTCAATTTCGTGCACAATAAATTCACCAAAATTTATTGCCAATGCGGCATAATCCAAACCAAATAAATAAATAGCGAACACGATCGAATTAACATAAACAAAAAAGGCGCAACAACAACAACAACAACGACAACGCGAACCGCAACAATTCGGCGGAACGAAACGAACGCGACTAAAGTTGAGCGATGACTGTGGCTTTTCGCTAGCGATCGTGAGAGGATTGCCATTGAGTGCGGAGAGAAAAAGAACTCAGCTTGAGCATGAGTCAATACATTCACGAATTAGAGAACGCAGCTCAGACAGGAGCTGTGAAAGCACTCAATATTACCCAATCGCTCAGTACACAGCCATCGAGAGAGAGAGAGAGAGAGAGAGAGAGCGTGGAGTGAGCGCAACAATAGTTCCACACTTGTTCAAGTGCTGCTTTAAGTGGAAGTCGTACCTTCATAGAAAGAAACGGAATATAATTATAGCAACACACTCCTTTACACGCGCGCACACACACGCATATGTGAGAGGGAGGACGCAGTTTTGAGCATAAGTTGTTACAACTACACACTAGAGCGCACCGTTTGAGCAACAACTCTACACTTCTATACACATACACACTCACACACGCACATATTATTGAGCGCAGTTTTAAGCAATAACTCCAGACACTCCCGCACCCACACAATCTTGTGAGCGCAATTTGAGCAATAACCTTCTCACACACGCATATATCAGGGAGAGCGCACGCACACATGCATAAATCAGAGAGCGCAATTTGAGCGGCAGCTTTGCAGCTCTACACAGCATTCTACAACGCTGTTTGAGCAACAACTCCAAATTCCTACAGACAGACTGGAGAGCGCATTATGGGCACCAACTTCATACTCCTACACACACACACACACATACCATCATTTCTGCTCTAGCTGAAGAGAAAAGTTGGGAAAAAGGTGCGCGCTTCAACTTCAAACGAATTCCGGTTCTTCTTGTTGTTGTTGCTGCTGCTGCTGCTGCTGCTGTTATACACTGATTCAGTAAAAATTCTGAAGGTGTAGCCCAAAACAGAGCAAAGCAGTGAAAATCAATTTCTTTGTTTGGCCTTTTTATGTTGTTGTTGTTATTTGGGTCTTCTTACCTGAGCCGTTGTTGTTGTTGCAGCATAGTGCCACTTATGTGTATAGGCGAGAGTGTGTGTGTGTATATATATGTATAAATGTAAGGCAACCTGTAGAACCAATTTAAATGAACAGCGGCTTACACTACAGGCTTAACTGGCTAAAAAGGATATCCCGAAATGGGTTAGGTTAAAAAGAGAATGCGGCTAAACGGGAAATTGAGTCACGTAAGGAGATAAAGATGGAATTAATTATGATATATATCCTTTGATCATTTGACTATAAGGCATGTACATATATGCATAAATTGAAAAATGATCAAAATATTCCCTATATCTTTTAATACACATTGATTCCTAATCAAATTCCAATCTAAAACCTTTGCTCTCTTTGGACACACCCAAAGACCATGACATTCTTTATAGCGTCAATTCTAGCGTAGTGGAGGCATACGCCTCCAATAATCGGTAGATTATTATAGTTATTTTTAAGCGATATGGACATTTCCGCCACTGATAATGTTCTACATTTCAAGTACATTGATAAATATATGATGTGCGTACGAGCGCATATCGTAGACAATTAGACGGTCTTTAACATGATTGTTATATAACCTATATTAAGAAACAATTTAAAATCAATACCCAAAATCTCATTTCTGAGCAAATATCATATATGTATCATAAATGAATCCTATCAAGAACATAAAGAATAGTCATTTATCATTTTGAATCGTATATTTGTATAGCCTATAAACTAGACAAACGTCTATCATACATAGTTACATATTAAATATTAGGTAATATACAAATGTCATTTGCGCTCTGGTTAAATATATATCTATGTATATAGTATGAATGTTTATCTATATGTATGTACAATTAGGTGATATAAATATTTGGGTTTTTGTGTGGGTTATCGATGAACTTTTTCGATTTATCAAACATTTGAAGCTAGCGCCTAGTACAGCTTGTAGAGCGATAAGATAAGTACACGAATTATATATGTACATATTACTAGCTAAACACAAACAGGCAGAGAATGAGTGAAAACACAAACTATTTACATATATGTGTGCTATATATATTAATTTAAAGCCAAAGCTACTGAAGACTTTTCGAAGCATTCCAGAAAAGAAAAGCTACAAACATAGTTATATACATGGGATCGTTAGTTCCACTAATTAAATAATAATTATCACAACCGATAATGGGACTCTCTAAAGCTGCTATCGCATCGGCTTTAAAAGAACATACTAAATAGTCGGCAGTGCTCGACTAGCAGATACCTTAAGACTTACAGGGTATTAGTATTTGTTTGTGTGTATATTAGGAAATGTCGAAGATCATCCGATTACTAATAAATCTGTCATAATTGTGCATTACAACTTTGAGTCTCTAGCTTTAATAATCATAATATTATTATTATTATAAAAATAATAATACAATAATTTAAATTCTCGTTGAGCAGTCATTTTTTTTTTTTACCCAATATTAAGTTATTGTCATAAGTTATCGACAAATAATGTTAAACTTATTTATAAATCAAATATCTATACCCTAGCTTTTGTATTCGCCAAGATTGATGCGTTCAAACATACGGACATATTAGCTCTAAGCTAAAATACATATACACTCTATGGAATTATTATTCTACTTGCTTTCACAAACATTTCCACAAATACAATATACCCAAGTTTTTTTTCACACATTTTCAATGAGTCTTAAGGTTGTAAAACCAAATACACATTTTGTTTTTGTTTTTTGTCATTTATGACTTCACAGTTGCTGATAGGGAATGGACGAGCATGGCAAAAGTGCTGATAAGGAAGATGCTCGCTGGCAGTGAGGATAACATGCGATAGTTCTCTTCAGTGTGGGTGCGCGTCTTCTTCTGCTTGATGACCCAGCCCAGGCTGCGCTCCACGGCACGCTTCCACTTGCCGTACCGCTCTTCGCGCTCCTGTTCCGTGGTGGTCGGCAGAAAGGTGTCGTAATGGACGTTCTCGTAATAACGCTTCTCCGGCTCAAATTTACACAGATCGATGCCTTCGGCCTGGGCGGCACACATGGCCGCTCCGAAGGCCGTCGAGTCCATCAGCTGGGACCGAAAGAGGGGCAGACCGGCTGTGTCGGCTTGGAGCTGCATCAGCAGATTATTTGTAGTCAACTTGCCGTCCGCATGGAGTTTGTTTATGTCGTAGCCGCACTCCTGATGCATGCACTCCAATATGTCGCGGGTCTGGAAACAAATGCTCTCCAGGGCTGCGCGTACAATATGATTCTTTCGCGTGAACTGCGTCAATCCAATGATAATGCCGCGAGCATTCTGCCGCCAATAGGGCGCATACAGACCCGTAAACGCCGGCACGAAGTAAACATCACCCGCCGTGGGCACCGCCTCGGCATATTTCTCAGCATCTCGCGAATCGGGCAGCAGTCGCACCTTCTGCTGCAGCCAGGACAGAGCATGGCCGGCCACTGAGACCGAGCCCTCCAGAGCGTATATCGTTGGTGCTTGGGGTCCTAGTTTATAGGCAACCGTTGTCAACAGTCCATGGCTGGAGAAGACGGGCTTGTCGCCCGTATTGCAGAGCAGAAAACAGCCGGAACGATATGTATTCTTTGTCTGGCCGGGCTTGACGCACATCTGCCCCAACAGCGAGGCCTGCTGATTGCCCAATATTCCGCTCAGTGTGATGCCGCGTAGGGCACTCCTCTCCGAGGTGATCTTACCAAAGACCTCAGAGCAGCTGTGTATGCTGGGCAGCATTTCCTCCCGAATGGCAAAGGTTTTCAGCAACACCGGATCCCAGTTTTGGGTTTCCAGATTCATGAGCAACGTGCGTGAAGCATTTGTCACATCCGTAATGTGTAGAGCACCTAAGTGGAGAAAGATTCTGATTACTTAATATGTAAATGAATATTGTGAGAATTGTCAGTGTTAAATAAAATCAGAGCAAGAGATTTATGTGCATAGATAGACGGAAGGAAGGAACGATGGAAGACCGGATCTATTCACTTTACGGATAATAATTATAATATACCTAAGCCCCACATATTATATGTATTAATGCTTACCATTCGTTAGATTCCATATGATCCAGCTATCGACTGTGCCAGCCTTGCAGCGCTTCTCTCGACACGCTTGCCGCACCTCGGGCACATTGTCCTTCAGCCAGCGTATCTTCAGGGCGGAGAAATACGTTGAGATGGGCAGTCCGGTTCGCCTTTTGAAATAGTTCGGATCCTGAACCTTGGCCACAATTTGTTCGACTGTGCTGCTCGTGCGTATATCCTTCCACACGATGGCATTGTAGAGCGGCTTGCCGGTGACAGCATCCCACACGATAGTCGTCTCTCGCTGATTGGTAATGCCGACTGTGATAATGTCGCTGGAGCTGAAGCCAAGTTCTGGAAGCTGTTTAATTGCCTCTTCGGCGCACTTGTTTATCGATGCCATCATCTCCAGCGGATCCTGCTCATACCAGCCATCCTGCGATGATATTACACCCAATTCCACACGATGTGCGGCGATTTCCTTGAAATCGGGCGTCGTATAGATCGAGAAGCCAATGGTCTTGGTGCCCTCATCGATGACACCGACGAGGCCTGTGTGTTGGATCAGGGACTGCTTGCGCAGCTCTTTGCTGCGAAATGGCACATCGGCACTCGAATTCGGTACGTTCTTCCCCTCCGTCATGCTGGCTGCAAAATGAAAAAAGAATTAGTCTCGATTAGGCAACGGAATAATGCGGTATAATGCGGAAATCAAACTATTATTAGCTCACGATAATGAAAATATACAAGGCGACAATGTTGATAGGGAACACAGGCAGAATACACTCATGCGAATGCGATATGATCTTTCCATTTTCTCATTTACTAATTAAATTTGAGTACATACGGTAAACATATAGAGTAGAGTATTTTCTGTAGTCATTTGATAAGAGTTTTGAGAAATAATTACATTCGTTTGATATAGATTCAGTCGAGATGGATTCACGTTCGGATGAACCGATAGACACGTGTAGATCGACTGGGAAGATTATATATATGTATATATAATTGTTTGGGGTCAGCGATCGCTAATAAAACTGTCATTGATGATCATATTTCTTATATTGACGTATATACGAGGTGTGTTCAAAAAGTTAAACTTGTCAGTATAATTGAGGGACTTAAGTACTAACTCGAATATACGTAAAAAATCGCAAATCGAGATACGTTTTGAATAAAACGTCTGAGACAGCCTTGCATAAATTAAACAAATTATATTACAAACCTGATATTCAATTGCATTTATTGAGACTTTACTCGAATATCTTCTATACAATATGATCTTATCTGCAATATGATCTTGCTTTCGGACAGTCAACGATCGTTTAACCTTTAACGCAGAACTCTTAGCTGTTTTCAAGAGAGCATTTATTTTTCACATGCGAAACAAAAGTCTATTTATTTTGTTATTTTCGCGGTTGACTTTGTACCCCTTGCAAATTGGAGCCAAACCCCAAAGCTTTGTTGGTTGAACGGTCGAGCCCTCTACAAAATACTGACACAAATACATACATACATACAAAGATACATGTATATAGTATAAACACATGTATGTATTGTAAGACAATGGTTATCTATAAATTTGTAGAAGCTTTTTGGGTTTTTGTTTAAAATTTTTCGTTGGCAGAGTCCAGAGAGTAAATAGATAAGAGACAAATAATGATCGAGTGATGTCAATTATTTACACGAGCACATATGTACATATGTACATATATACATACATATGTATATGTGTAAGTAAACCGTAATTTTAAAATGCTTTTCGTGATGTAGCTGATCGCAGAGTCCAAGTTCGAGTCAATGTCACTCGGAGTTCTCTTTCTATGTATACGAATAGGGTAATTTTCCTATATACAAACATATATGCGACTTGGCCGTTTAATCGTTTCGTCATTTAGATTTATAAATAAAGATGTAGGGACTGTATAGATAGATTACATATGCATATGTATGACCTCTAAGCTTTCGATCAATAAATTCTTAGTATTATTTATCAGTTTTAATTATAGAGGCAGACTGATTAAACAAGAGCTATTAAAGAAGTTGTATGTTGCAGTCTTTAAGTTTACCTTGTTGTTGCAATTATTGATAACAGTGATAAGAGCCAATCACGATGTTAACACTACAATACTTAAACAAAACAGTAACGAAGAGAGAGAGAGAGGGAGAGCGCGCTCGTGCTTTTTATTTTTATTGTAATGCGTTCGCTTTTCGTTTGAAGAAATACTGAGAGTACTTGCTAGTCTTTCACTTGCTTGAAGAGACGGTGTTGGAGTGAAGGAGAGATCACTTAGTTGTATTGCACTTCGATGTGTTTTTGTTTATTAGTAAGTAGAACGGCTGCTAGGAGAGAACGAAGTCGGAGTTTGGGGCAGAACTCGAGCGTGTTTTTATTGTGTCTCACTTAATATGATTTGTTGGTTTTTTTTTTACAGCTGTTTTTAATTTGATTTTATTTTTTAAGTTTCGTAGGAGACACACACGACATCCGTTCAAGGCGAGCGCCAAAAAGTATCTGAAAGTCAGGGATCCAGTGACAGCTGCTCGTAACCGCCAGCCATATCAAAGCGAAGGCGCGTCTATATATACTACATAATTATATATGTATATATTTATAGCAAGAGCTTTTACTGCAGGCAGCGACGCATTGAAAACAAACATTGACACGACACACAATCCCAAGTGCGATAAATGCAGAAGAAAGAAGAGTGAACAGCTGATAAGAAAAGCCGGCTGATTTGAGAGTAGAAGGTAAGAGAGACAGAGAGAGAAATACAGGCGACAGGAGAGACGGGTCACAGTGTGGGTGAGCGCATTGTTTTGGCATTTAAGCAAATACATATGCTTACAATGCTTACAAATACATATGCGTATCATAAATATGCCAACAAACGATAAGTAAATCGATTTGTTACACTAACAATAAAAATATAAAACATAACATTCAGTATAGCTAGAGCTAGACAAAAACTATAAAAATCTAACAACCAGAAATTATATAAGAAAAAAAATTAATAAAAAAAAAATAATAATAAATATATAAAATAAATTTAAAAAAGTATAATATTAGAGTTATATCAATTCTAGAAATTTTGACGAAATAAATAAATTATATAATACAAAATATGATGATAAAGAAAATATTAAAGTAAAACAAATAGATATAAAAAAAAAAATAATTTCGAACAAATATTTTCATTTTATTCAAAAATATATTTTTTATTATAATGTAGAAAGCCATTCATATATATTATATATCATATATTTTTTTTATTTATTTTTTTTTCTATATGCAATTATACATATAGAAGTCATTCACACAATGAATATGTTACACTTGCATTCATTGAGCTTCTTGGTCGTGTTAAAATAGCGCAAATAATGCTAAAAATAATTCAGTTTAAAATTTTTTGAATTCCAATCATTTGACAATATAAGCAAAAAGAAACGTGTTTTGTGCAACGATTTCATTCAACTTCATTAATATTGTTTTAATATGCAAAATATACAAAAATCAGCTATGGGCCAATGATAGCGAGTGATGAAATCTATTCGAAATATACCCTAACTTCGCGTATGGCATGTGAACTGAATGAAGTGTTTCATGCAGGGCATACAAAATTCGTAGAGTTACATATTTTGAAATGTTTATCACCTGTGTGTAAACACGTATAAATAGGTGTTATATTTGCATTGTGGGGCAATTGGATGCACAGCAAGCGAATGAAACGAATATGATATATGCAGGTGCAGGTGTGTATATATTAAATACACATATAAATATCTATACGTGTATGCATATATGCATATACCGTTGGGTCAACAAACCGAGTAACACAGCGCAATACGAGAACTGTTTATTTTGATTGCAAAATGGAAATGAATAAATGCTGACAAGTAGATCGACAGAAATTAAAGAATTGGCAAAACAACTTAAATAGATGGCGCCAGCAACAACTTATTGTAAGACGTTCGTCTCGTAAGGGTTAAATGAGTTGATTGAAAGGGGAACAGTTGTTAAATAATATCAACCGATGTCAGCCACAATAAATTGTTATCAGAAGTCTATAAATCTATAATAATCAAATAGGCCGAAAATAGATAAGGAAAGTTGTCAAAGAACAGTAATAGATGGCGCTAACAATAAATTATAATCATATACCCGCCAGCGTCTAAAGGTCAAAGCTTTTTAATTAGTCGCTTTTATAAACACTTGGCCAACTGTTGGCTGTTAATCACACAAGCAGATCGCACACACATGCAAATACAACGATAATTATAATATTTAAATTATATGCACTTTTCGACATACACCTTGAAACGAATGCAAATGCGCAACAGCAAATGCAAAGCTTGTAAGACAACAATTACGTAAATTTGATTTACAAAAACAAATAATAGCCGGCAGTCAACGTATGCAAATTAAATATTTATTTCCGCGTTTGGTTGTCAACACTCGCGCAGTTGGCGACAAACTGAACCGAAATCTATTGATGACTGTGCAAGATTGACCAACGCGATCAATATAAACAAGAGAATAACAAGAGAAAGAGAGATCGAGAGAGAAAGCGAGCAGCGGTGGCTGTCAATGAGGCGTGTGTGGGTGGGCGAGCAGCAGCAGCACGTGATGCTTAGCCGCTCAGAAGCTCAACAAAATAAATCAATAGGAGACACACTCACACAGAGAAACATTATCACATGTACATACATATATACATACCAGTGCAGAGAATACACAACTGCGAGTAGACAAGCCCCTCAAAGCTGCTTGGCGATTGGTCGGTTTGTATTTGCACTGATGACGTCACTGTTGCGAACAGCAGCCACACGTCAAATGTTTATCTTAGTTTCATGTTTGTTTATGTTTATGGCGTGTGGTGTTAACCGCGATTTACCTAATATCCAAACGTTTAGACATTTTTGTGAGCAATGCGCTATCTTATAGAGCTCAGAGCAATGTTTCTTGATAAAATAGACGGTATTTACAACAAGACGAGCACGTGTACCGGTTTACTCACCCTAAAAGTATTTCAGGCTAGCTATAACACTATTTGTTATCATTTTAACCACGACAATGCTTTGATAAGCACCTGCATCTTTTATGGATCACGGAAGCCATGAGTAAAAAAACCTGCCATTAATTATATTGCTCTCTTAATAAAATCAACTTTACTGACGAGCCCTTTTTTTTGGTTGTTTATTGCCAACATACCAGGGCTGCATAAATACTATACATCCATCGCCGTTCCGTTTGCTCAACAGTTTTGTCGTTGCAATGACGATATTTATTCACACAAACATTGTGTATTATGAGCATAGGTATTTGATAGAATTGTAGCGAACTATGATACACGTTATTCATTGTTATAATTATATTTTCCCATTAACTAGTCATATATACATCGAGAAGATATTCATAAATTTTGAGCGTTGTCGTTCAGTTTTCACAACTGTTGCGTCGCATGTACAATTTGCGCGCCAAAAGCTAAAAATTCAAATTCAAAGTAGGAATGGCAATCTGTAAATACAGGTGTCTATCTATCTGTGTTAGAGTTTCTTAGTTAATATAACAGTATTATTGCTACAATCGTTTTCAATATTTCGTGTAAGCTTATCACCGAACGTATGTGTGCGTAAATTGAGTAGGCTATTATCAAAATATAATTTTAGTTAACACTTGCAGCTATGGCACGCCAGTATTTGGTCAAACACCATGGACAGCGGACTAATTGGGTTGGCAGAAGTGTACGATATACCTGAGCAACATACTGATAAGCGTTCGTTCAAGTCGATAGAGCAGAGCTTATTGTCACAGTTTGCTATATTGGCTAGCTTTTCGGGCGTTGTATTGGCACGTGCGATATTGACCCCAAAGCGGACAAGTCGACTGACTCCTACAATATGCTACCTAGTGGAGTTTCCCTTGGTTGTGGTGCCGGGCGTTCTTTTCGTGACAGTGGCTAGTGATTACAGTGCGCATTTCGTGGCAGTTATGATTGCTCTGCTATTCTTTTACATTATGCGGACCCGTGCGATATCGCGAATCAAAAAGCAATCTCAATTTAATGTAGGTAGTCGGCCTATTGCCCTTACTGTGGGCCGTGCCCTGACTCATTTGATCACATCTATTTGTATACTGGCGATTGACTTTGGCAGCTTTGATCGCCGATATAGAAAGAGTCGACTCTTTGGCGCTCGGCTCATGGACACGGGTATTGGCCTCTTTGTAGTAGTGATGGGTTTGGTGTCTCGGCGTCCGCGCAGTTGCATTGAATTGCGGCGTCATGTTCTGCTATCTGCAATGCCGTTGATACTTCTGGGCATTGCTCGAGTCGTAGCGCTCCTTGCGATTGACTATGGACAGGATGAACATGAGTATGGCGTCCATTTGAATGCATTCTTCACTCTGGGACTGACCAAACTTTTTGGTAGCATCTTTGGCTATTTCGCGCATACAGACTGGCAGCTATTGCCTATAGCGTTTTGTAAGTTCATAAACAAACAAATTCTACGCGTAAACTAACGTAATTCTCCATGCTTACAGGTGTTTTGGTATGCCATCAAGTGGCCCTCACCTTCGGCGGTATCTCGGAATATGTGATGGATGATGATGTACTTCGTACCACATTCTTGAGCGCTAATCGCGAGGGTATTTTTTCGATACCCGGTTTCGTGGCGCTTTATTTGTTATCTATTTACTTCGGCCGTTGGTTGTTTGCCAAAACGGTATATAGCTTTAAAGAAATGATTGGAAAACTTCGTAGTCTGCTTATCATAGTGATTGCCTGCTGGCTACTGATGGCAGTCAGCGCCTATGCAGTTGGTATCTCTCGAGTCACCTGCAATTTGGGCTACGTCATATGGATGTTTGCTATAATGAGCACCATGTTATGGCTGACCATGGTAATTTTTAACCTGATATTCGAGGAAGCGAACGAACGGAAACTTGACGAGCCGCAGAGCCTAATGGACGAAACCCAGTTTAACGAAAGTGAGAATCTAGAGAAGGGTTTATTAATTCCATCGAAAACAGTTGCTATTAAGAGCAGCGGAACACAATGTATTATCATCGAGTCATTGAACATGAATGGTCTAGTCTACTTTCTTTTGGCCAATATATCAACAGGTTGTGTCAATATCTTTTTGAAGCCCAAGAAGCGTTCGGATGCTGCATCAGTGCTCATTTTACACATCTATATGTTTGTGGTAACGTTCGCCGTCTTTCAACTGTATAAAAGGCGTATTCGCATTGCCTAAATAAATTTATAATCAATTAAGAAATTCTCTCGCTGTGATAAATAAAATAACAACTTTTCATATACAAAATGTGTGTTCAATTTGTTTGCTTATGTATTTATATTTGCTGATGAATAAAAATTTCGGTCAATTACTTTTTTAAAACTATATATCAATTGCATTTTTTATGATTTACAACCTTTTGGCATAACCGAACGTTAAAAGAACGTTAAAGATAAGAACAAGCTCGTTTCCGTTCAGCTCCTC